CCAATTTCATCAAGGAAAACATCATTTGTAGGTTTACTAGTATATCATGGGTGATGTTGAGTCTCTTAACCATCCACCATCTGTTTTCACTTCCACGGTTTCTCCCTCAGTTCCTTGAAGTCCGGGCATTAGGAAAAGGCTACCTCAGAGGCACCAACCAGGCCATCCTTTATGATTTCATTCTTCTCTGGTTTGGTTTCCATACTCTTGAGAGTGAATGCCACCAGTGAGTGCCCACAAGAAAGAAAATGTTTTAAAAAAAAAAAAAAAAATTTTGCAAGTTTACGGAATTCATGAATTGCGGATTATTTCATCTTCGTCGTCAATTTTGGCTAAATGTGATCATCTACTTTTGTCCCAGGTTTCGTCTAGATATTGAGTTTCTTGGTTTATTTAAAAAAAAAATAAAAAATAAAAAATAAAAAAAAAATTTGTTTTTCCCCGCTCAAGCGGATATTTTTACGCTCGAGAGTGTTTTTTCACCTTGCAGTAGTTTGCTCTTTGCTTTACAGTTCTGAGAGAGGTATTTTTGCACTCGAGCGTCCTTCTTCGAGCTCGAGCGGGTGTCAGCTTGCGTTGCCTAACGCTCGAGCGTTACTTACTACACTCGAGCGGACCTATTTTGTATAAAACTCCCTCCCTCGACTCTTCAGGTCATTTTTTTTTCTCTCCTCTTCAGTTTCTCAGACCTAGGGTTTCGCTCGTGGGCTTCGCGTGGTTGATTTCACCTTCCTTCTGCCTCTTCCTTGCCGATTTCACCTTTGGTAGGTTTTACCCTCTCTTCTTCTCTGTTTTTCTCTGTTATTTCGGCACATTTAGGGGTTGTATTTCGGGTTTTTGGTTTTTTTTGTGTTTCATTTTTTTCCCTTTCTCTCACACGCTTTCACTGAGTCGGTTTGTCTTTCTCATGTTGCATCTCATGTTTGTGCGTATGGAGTCTGTGTTGTCCATTCGACCTAGGATTGTGTATTCCACATGCTTGAGGTATTTGTGATTGTGCTGCAAGTTTGAGCCACTGTTTTGACCACTAGATGCGTCCACATTTTTGCACTGTTCTGTATTCCACATGCTTGAGGCATTTCTTGTTTGTGTCTCTAGGTCATTGATATTCTGCCATTGCCATTATGCACATTTTTGCATTCTGCATTTCATTGATATTTGTCCTCCATGTTTCTGAAGTGATATCATTGATATTTGTTCTCCATACTTATGCATTATGTGTTTAATGTTACTAATGTTCTCTATATTGTGCCTAATTTGTTTTTTGGGTTTGGTTTCTTTTTGGCTTTGTTGGGTTTTCTGGTTTTAGTCCTCTCTCCTCTCATCATGTCCGCCCCTAAACGCCGAAAGGCGACAGTGTCTCGCCCTACCTTTAATTCTGAGCGGTTTAAGACTGCTAAGCAAGACAAGTTGTTCCATAAATCTTTTGAGCCTCGCACTGTTCACCTAGAACGGAATGTCCAGCCTACCACTTTCGAGTCCATCCCTATCCGTCCATTGTTTGATCCTCTAGGTGGTGATTTGGTGTTATCTTTTTCTGGGCGTCAAAATCTCGACTGGGTCTGAGAATTTTACTGTAATATTGAGCAAATTAGTGATTTTGAGCCTTCATTCACTACTTGGGTTCAGTCCAAATCCATTTCAGTCACACCTGCTCTCATTCGCCATCTTCTTAAAATTGATCAAGTGTACCCTCAACACTATCCTTTTCCTGTTCCAGGTCGTCCTACCTATGATTTCAATAATGTGACTGAGGTGTTATGTGGTTCTTCCCGTCCTTGGCCTACGGGCGCTTTGATTAAACAGTTTGAACTTCTTCGTGTAAGTGTTTTGCCTTATGTATGCTTGGATGTGATAATCTCATTGTCATTGATA